CTGGAAGGGTTTATCTTCCCTGCAGCCCCTTCCCCTCTAACTCTGCTTCCTGGCCACCATGAGGTGAACAGCCCGTCTCTGCCACCACCCTTTCACCATGATGTTCTGCCTCATCTTGGGACTAAAGTGGTAGGGTCAGCTGACCTTGAACTGAGACTTCTGAAACCATGATCCTAAAATAAATATTTCCTCCTCTAAATTAGTCTTTTTAAAAATATTTTTTTAGTTGTTGATGGACCTTTATTTTATTGATTCATTTAAATGTGATGCTGAGAATTAAACCCAGTGCCTCACACAAGCTAGGTAAACGCTCTACCATTGAGCCACAGCTTCAGCTCTCTAAATTGGTCTTTGTCTGGCTTTTTGGTCACAGTGATTTAAAGACAATACCTACAGTGTGTCTAGTACAGTACCTGTCAAGCCTTGGGGCAATGGAATGCACTCATACTTTCCTCTCTTGCTGATTCTGACTTCAGAAATTTCCCTAAAAAAGTCTGTTTCAAACCCGGAGCCCCGTGATGCTGCAGAATGCATCTGAACCCATGTGTGCTAGGAAATCAGAAAGGGCCCCCTTACCTGGTACTGCACGGGGGGGCGGGGAGAGGGGGGTTAATTATAGTTTTACAAATTTAATTTGTTTTCCCTTCTCTTTGACACACTTTCCTAATTGCCATAAACCTGTCTTCTATGTCCCAAAGCATAGCACAGTCCTAGGTAACAGATAAAAATAGCCAACATTTCAGTCTTGTAACCTTGCCCTGACCCTTATCTTTACCATCTCTGCTGAGTTTCCATGAAATATCCCAGGGAATTAAGGACAACACCATTTCTGTTAGTTTTTCTGATTAGCAGCATTCTGGAGGTTATCTTAGGTTGACAGGTCACTAGGGAGATTTTCTTTCTGAAGAGTGCACCTGTCCAAAGCCCCTTGTATTTCTCTTCCCACAGAAATGCCCTGCAGCATCTGGCCTGAGGATGCCCTCAGCTATGCCCCACAAACCCAGCTTGATGAGGTTTCCCTCCAGGGAGCAGGAATGAAATATGCAGCACTACACCACCTGCCTGGGAAGGCAAGGATCAGGAGAAAGAGCTTAAAATACTATCAGAACTGTCATGTATCAAAGGGAGAAAATTCTGATTAAAAAAAATGTGGGAAGTCCTGAGGAACAGTGAGGTAGCATTTGTGATCTGCAGGTTTGAATTCATCTTGCAGATATCTGAACAAGAAATATTTATTAACACATATTGCTTGGGGCAGTATGGTGTGTGTGTGTGTGTGTGTGTGTGTGTGTATGTGTGTGTGTGTGTATGTATAAGCACACACATGAGTGGGTCTGAGCATCGTAGGTGTTTATAACCCACCAGTCACCTGGAATAGTAGAGAAGAATTCTAGTTAGATAGCATAGCATAATGATTAGATGTCTGGGCAAAAGGCCATTTGTCTAAAGGTCTAGCTTTTCCCTTTACCTTTCTCTTGAGACCCTTAGCAATAAGTCAAGAAAAGAAAGTAAGAGTGCACACCCACAATCCCAAAGACTCAAAAGCTGAGGCAGGAGGATCTCAAGTTTGAAGTCAGCCTGGGCAATTTGGTGAGGCCCAGTCTCAAAATAAAAAACGGAGCTCAGTAGTAGAGTGCTCCTGGGTTCAATTCCCAGTACTAAGAAAGAAAGAAAGAAAAGAAAGCAAACAAAAACCATTTGATTTCATAGATTGTCAGGAGATGACACAGTCCTGGGACATGGCATAAGAGCTCATTAAATCTTAGCTCTTGAAATGGAATCCAAGCCAGCATCTTTTCCTTCTTCCAGGACTTCATGTTATCTCTGTTCTGCTTTCCTGCCTTTTGTCTCTAGATTAGGGCAATTATCTCTGTTACTTCCTGGAGAGTTAGAGGCTTGGCTTTGATAGAGTACTTGCCACTATGGCTCAATTTCCCACATGTGGATGTGGGTTCACTGTGCTGAGAATTTTAACTTTTCTTTTTGTCTGTCCCTTTCTCTTCTCTCTATCATTCCCCCATCCCCTGTCCTCACGTTGTACCAACTCTGGTCCAGTCCTCACTCCCAATTTGAGTCTTGTCCCTTATGTTTTATGGGTCAATGTAATCTGTAGCCATGAAGTTGGAGTGCCAAGTTTTATTTCCCCATTACTAATTTTGGCACAGTTTTTGAAGTTGAAATTCTCAGCACAGTCTAATCCCATACCTTTGAAAGGTCTCTGTGATTTGGGGTAGAACCCTATGATATACTTCTCTTGCCAGAGATCAGAAAGTTAAAAAAAAAAAAGGTTGTATTTGCCTAACAGAGTTGAGTGGACAATTCTTACATTTATCTCTTGGTCTACTGTGGTCACCGAACATCACAGTTTCTTAAACTTCCCAGTTTACCTTGATGTACTAAAGAAATTAAGAGCATCTTCTTTATCTCTCAAAAGTGACCTGGCTTGGAAGATATGTTATAAAATTCACTCTGTCCTTAGGAGTTGGTGTATAGTTAAGTTTCTTTTCAAATATAGGAGAAATGAAGACTTTTTTTCCCCATTACATTAAAATAACAAGAAGTGTGAGAAGGAAAGTCAGGTTGAAGTCTCAAGTTCCAGAAATGGTGTTCAAAAACCATTTTTTTTTCTTTTCCTATAGTCCAAGCTGGAATATATTTTAACCATAGCAAGCAGTGTTTGAAAAACACTTGCAAGAAGCTTGCTACACGATTTACATTTTACGTGGTCAATCCTTGTTCAATGGAATAAATATAAGCAAGCTAAAAATACTCTGGGGAAACACATGCGCGCGCGCGCACACACACACACACACACACACACACACCACATTTCTGGAGCTTTTGGAAGCTTCTCTTTCTCACCTTACTTTGTGTTACTGGGTAGCAGGCATCTTCCAGAAAGAGGTGTGAATGAGAAATCTAATAATATTCAGAACTAGGAGGAGTTGGCAGAGCTTTTTCAAAATTGTGCAGCCATGTTAAGATACAACAGAGAGACAGCATTAAAGGAGCTGAGAGGGGAAACTCTTAGCTTTGTTAATGTCAACTATCTCTACCTGAACAGAGGAGACATGAGCTGGTGTAAGTGCCACACACTATCAAGCCATGGCAGTGACACGGGACCACAGCGGATAGAAAGAGACAGTGCCCACATGTGGCTGATAGAGGCTGAGCTGCATATACAATAATGCTTTCATCTCCAGCAGCTGCAGCTGCACTGGCAATTGAGCATTCTCAAGACAGGCCGCTTACAAGGCTTGCCATTTCTCACTTCCCTGGAGAGGAATACACATTCTTGTCATTACTCATGATATGCATCACATGTTAACCAACTCCTTCTCCTCTGCATTCTAAGAAAGGGCAGGGATTCTAACAGAGGCAATGCAAAATGCTGCCACCAGGTACAGGATCAAAAAAAAAGGCAGAGGATGAATCACACAGTCCTGGAGGAACTAGATTAGGTGAGGAAACAATGGGTGGTATGTGTTTTCCTCAGCTGTCTAGCAGTGGCCACGCAAGATGGTATAGGAAATAAGGAAGAAAAAGCTGGATCTTATTCTTTCATTAAAGCACCATAAGACCTTGAAAATAAAGAAGTTTTTCAGACATAATTCATGCTAACACACCCAGTTAATCTGAAAGATGGCAAGATTTACAATCAGCTTCAGGTCATCTGTCTTTGACATTCTACCCGATCACATATTTGCATATTCAGAAGCTGTACGAGCACAAAAATTATTAATATGAAATCCACTCTCCATTACAGTAGAATGACATGTAATTTATTCATATATCTGACAGTTAGGCAGTACTCAAAATTCATTTAAATAAGCAAGTGATTACACAAACATCTAATAATACTAAAATTGATAGTCTGAAAGTATAAAATACCATGGGTATGAAATGCCATGGTAAATACTATTCAACAGACTACAATCATAATTCCAAACTAAATCACATTTTTTTGAAATGATTTTTAGCAGTTTTGGAATGATTTCACTTTACTTTTTCCAAGCAATTTACTTCTTCCACTGATAAGATCATTATTTTCAAGAAATATTGCAGAATGACATAGTTTTGGTTTCTCTCTTGCAACACATTTTCTTGCAAATTGTTTTTTAATATTGCCCATTGACATAGAAAACAAACCAGTCAGCACTCAGTTCCCCAAGCGAAGATGCTTGGATCAGAACAGTGCTGGGGGATAACTCTTGAGTTCAGCAAGAAGAGGTGGGCAGTGAAAAACCTTTTGCAGCTTTTGAAATAGGCTTACTTCTCTTCTGAGGCTCCAAGAATCATGAACATATTTAGACATCCAAGCCAGTGAAATTATGAGAATAAAAAAAATCATTTGATCACCAGATGACCATGATACAATTGCAACTGGAATTAAGTTACAAAATAATTATGCAGAACTTCACACAAAAACAGCTCCTACCTAAAGTTACTTCTTGTAAGCCTCATTACATTTTTGTGAAGCACAGCTAGGTTTGCAGGAAGAGTTTGGCTTATCATGTGTCTGTCTGTATTATGTTAAAGTCTTATACTTTATCAGAAATGAGGTCCAAGCATGAACCTGGCTTGAAAAGCTAGCAGCAGTAGTCATGAAACATATCAATAAATTAAAAGGCTTTCACAGAACAAGATTCAGCTAAACCTCTTACATACAAAATACAGCTAGTGAAATACAAGTCTTTAATGTTGAGTTATGAGGGGGAGGAAAAAATTTAAAAAAATAGAAAACTCTTTCCATACCTGGGTGTCAAGGCAAGATGTAACACTGTATAATGCCATAATATGAGCAGTCACTGGAGGACAGATATTCCAGAAATAGTGATATTTGGGGATCTTGGAATTATGACCAAGAGATGAAAATACTGTATCAAAAGGCATGCATATAATCACTGTGTGCATTCAGTGAGTGAGCTGTGACCTAAGCAGAGACCTAACACGACAATGAGGCAGTGTTCCAGGGTATCCATTAAAATCAGCGTGGGCGACTACATGTTGATTAAACCTTCAGAGGCAGCAAAATGCGGGCATAGCGCCATGTCTGGATTTTGCAGCTGTTTTATGATCCTCTTGCGGAATTTCTCCCTCACACGATTAAATTCCATTATGTCCATGGGATCTTCTTCAATCCAAAACTTGTGAAATTCATGCATCAAATAGCCTGTTAGAGATAAGGCAGTGATAAGAGCACAAGAGATAAAGGTTCTTAAACATATTAAACAACCATCCTGAATGAGTTAGACCAAAATCACAGAACCCATGGAGCTCAAAGAAACTCAAAATTTAGCAAATAAGACTATTTAAGATTATTTTGGGGTTGGAGGGTAGCTTGGTGTTAGAGTCACTTGCTTAGTATGCTTGAGGATGTGGGGTTTGATAATCAGCACATCAAAAAAAAAATTCTTTATTCTTTAAGACCAGTGAAGCAGAAGCTAGCAATTGGTTAAGATTTTTACAGTTGGTCTTAGAATTATTCTCAATTTCAGGAAGCAGGAAGACAAATCAGTTCTGCCATCTCTTGAATATGGATCACATGGGGAATATATTCTGAAAGGCCAACAGTGACTACTTCATCCTTCTCCTCCTAATTAAATTAATATAATGGTTCAATTTTTCAAAATTACTCTGCTCCCCCTTTTCTGTTTTGACTTTTGATTTAACTGCATTTTAAATTACCCTGACAAATCAAACAAATGCATTTTGACAATCTATTATGAGACAATAAGAATGGTAAATCAACTCTGAACAACCCAGACTGGTCATTAAACTATGTGAAATTGATAATAAGACTTCCTTGCTCTGAAACATAATTTCATATTCAAATCAAAAATGTTATCTATGAATGATCTGGAGTGGGAAAATTTTGGAAAAAATGTGAAGTCCTTGATACAAGAATCTATTGTGTCTGTTTCCCATAGTGCCCCCTCCCCTCCACCACATTTAAAATTGAAATGTGGATTGTTTTTTTTTAAAGACAATTATAGGTATTTGTATGAAATAAATTCATTGCAAACTCTATCTTAGAAAAGATAGAAATCTATCTTAGAAAAGAGTATTTAAGGAAATAATCCTATCAAAACAAATATTACACAAGCTTTTTTGTTTGTTAACTTTAGAAAGTATTTGAAAACAGGAGCCAAGACTGGAGCAAGACACCTGGTTTAAATATCAGCTCTTTTACCTCTTTATGTGAACAGAAATGAAGAATCATATTAGAAAGAATATACTCAGTTTGAATATTAAAAAATTAACAACTTTTGTTTTTCTGGTAACTAGCAATGTATGGGAATCCTTTTGACAAAATTCCATAAACAGATTTTAAAAATCCTTATTCATATATATAATACAAATTAGAAGTAACCTCCCCCCAACATATATGGCCAGGTGTTGACCCACTTGTACTCTTGTTCCTCCCATCAATATTCTTCTCATTATTTTTGTTAGGTATGCTCATACATCCATAAGTACACGGTCTCTACACAAATATAGGACAGAGAGAGAGAGTATTTATTTTATGTTTCTTTTGGGTTCACTGTTCCATTTCTTTTAGGACTAGTCTGTCTTTGGGCTCTTCACATGCAGTAATTGACATGACTGCTTTTAACATTTCTGATAAGAGACACAATCCACCCTCACCCAACTGGCCCATGGTACACACACTAGGGCTGACTATCAGAAAATACTCAGATCAGCAGTATCAGTCACCTGGGAGCCATCTTCTCTGTCTGTGTTCATCTGATGCTTGGATTCCCCAAGGCAGCCCAAGGTGGCATCCAGGCTTGATGGTTCTATGGATGAGAAGCTTGTCTCTTAAAATGGTTCTCACATGGAGCCTAAAGCTTTAGGTTTTATGGAGCAAATTCAATCCTCAGTCAGATCCTTCAGATCCAAGTATCTGAAGTGTGCTTTATGCCCAGTGCTTATCTCATCTCCAGGCTGGGCATCCCTATTTCTCCTCACCATTTCTCACATACCCCGTTGGAGTTAATTTATCAGCCTGGTTGTTTTGGTGCACACCAAAGAGAAACTTGTTTCCTCTAACCTCAGTCTTATCCAATGAAAAGAAATCAATCATCTGCCCATTTCAGTGACTGAACAAATTCTTAAAATATCCCAGGAGTGATTTGGGGTACCAAACTTGCAATTCATTAAGAATCCTGTGTTACTAAAGTTTGAGAACCTATGGTCTAGAAGATGACATCTTTTTAAGTTTCCTTGGCTTCCTTCTAAATATTAAGATTTCTATGGTTCTAAAAGAAATCTATGATAATGTATAATTTCTTCTCTTAGTATATAAAATACGCATAATTTTCCTGACTGGTTTTTGAGCTCAAATAAACATACCTGAGCTATTTTGCATGGAAAGTCAAGTTTCTAATACTATGAATTAAAAATGTCCATGATGTATCTCATTAATATCTTATGAGTGACAGCATCTTTACTCCTGTTGACAATGATAAATACGTACCGTGAAAAGTCATCTTTTAAAAATTTTATTTTTAATTGCACTATTTATAGGGTACAATGTAATAATTTAATACATGTATACAGTGTGGAATGATCAAATTAGTGTACATAGCATTTCCATTGCAAATGTTTATCATCATCTTTTAATAATTCATTTTTCTGCAACATACATAAAAATGTTCATTCTTCTATAATATGTAGATATATTTGGCAAATACTCTAAAGATGATGTAATGTGGCACAGAGTTCTAAAATAACGCAGTTCCATTTAGTTTGTTTAATAATGCTTTCATTTACAGTATCTTTTATATATTATATATATTTTTAAGTTGTCGTTGGACCATTTATTTTATTTATATGCAGTGCTGAGAAATGAACCCAGTGCCTCACACAGGCCAGGCAAGCACTCTACTGCTGAGCTATAACCCCAGCCCAGCTCCATTTAGTTTCCCCTGTTTTCTATCTTATGCACAATTACAGAACAACATCTTGGAAGTTTTAAAAAATTGGCTAGATGAAGTGGTTCATATATGATACCATTCTCATGATACCTCCTCTTAAGGCTACAAATTCAAACTGTAGAGCTTGTAGACAGATTCCCTGGGATTCTCTCTATTCATTAGAAAAGCAATTAGAGATCATATAACATGATTGTAATAAAAATGCAGAAATGGTGGCCCAGAATCCCAGGTACATATTACAGTCATAAAATTCTTCTCATTTTATATAACATGGGGTGTTCAAAAATTCATTTGGCCAATTGGTCAGGTAATCAATCCTCCAATTACAAATATGTAACAGATACAACATTAGGTACTGAGGATGAAGAGAAAGGTCGAGTTCTGTGTTTCCTAATTTCTCAGTCTCCTGGAGAGAGGGAGACAGGTATGCAATTTCCGCTGATGATCTGTTAGCTCAGGGTAGGCGATGGAGATTTTATATCTCTATTTCACACCAGAGGACACTGGGCTTAGATAAGATTCTTGAATGGTGCATAGTTACACAATGACAGCAGGAAATCAGGACCACAAACCAGTTGATTTCCCACAGCTGCAACAGCCAGCCTTTCCTGTGCATTCTGTTCCTCTGGTTCTTATTCTTATTGAATAGTTCTTCTTCTGAAGGTCAAAGAAAAGACAATTCCTTTTCCTCTTCCGGCCATTGTGTGTTCCTTTGCTCACTAGCCTAACCTCACTCCATTTCAATGGGGGCTGTGTGTTCAGTAGAGCTTTAGATTGAATGCAGTTTTTGTAACATAGTCCCTTGGCAGTGCAGTGTTCACGGAATAATGCTGTGAAGTCATAATGATGGAGCCATTATGTTCTTATATTCTTCCACCTAGATGAAATACTTATTTTGAATACTAATTTGGCTTTCCATCTCAAGCCTGCAGCAAATTTATTGCTGCTTCAATGTGTCTTGGTTTTGCTTCACTGCATTGGGTTAGTAGAGAGCAGAGACGTGTGCAAGGACACAGGTAATTACAAAAATATTACAGAGGAGACGTGCAGAACTGATCATAGTTGGTGAAGGAATAATGAAGCTAGGGCACAGTTTGCTTCCTCTAAAGACTCCCCAGTTCCTCTGCCTATGAGCCAATCCACAGGGAACTGCTGCTGTTTCCAAAACCTGAGAAGTGCCTTGGGAAATAAGTAATCCTATGGCATGCTTACTCATCTGCTCTGGGACTCTCAGAAACATTTCAAACCAGGACAAGGCTAAAATTTTCCAGATCATATAGTGTCCCCTTCCCCCTATAAAGAACATTGCCCAATATTGTAGCTTCCTTTCCATTCACCCATCCATTCACCCATGCATCCAATAAATAGTTACTCAGTGTTTACTCTGTACGAGGTTCTGTGCTGAGGGTATGGCAGTGGACAAAACAGAAATGCTATTTCTCTATAATTTTAACTTTGATTATTTTCCCGGGAAATGCCCTTCACTGTGTGGCACTGATTTTCTTCCTCAATGCTGATGAATTTCAAATCTGTAGCTTGTGCCATTCAGATTCTTCGGAGCTCCAGAGCCTTATATTAGAATATCCATTCTGTAGCTCTACATGGATTTCACTCTGCTTGTCTAAAATTAAACTCATTTTATTTTCCCTCAGAATTTCCCTTATTTCCATAAAGAGCATGGAAAACACAGAATAGGCTAAGTGTAATGGACTAAGGAAATGTAGCATGAGGTTTTATTTAGCTACATGTTCATGCTCTTTAATGTGGCCTTCAAAGCTCTTTGAGATCTGGCCCCATTCTACTCTAATATTCCCAGTATCACCTCTAGTCACACTCTGTCTCCTCCCCGACACTCTCTGCTCTACTACTTGATTCCACTTTCTTCGGTTTTGTGACCTTTGCCCTGCCACTTCCTCTGGCCCAACCACTCAGCTACTATTGCTTTATTTTCTGCCACTCGTCCTTCAGGTCTCATTGAAAGTGGCAGTTGCTTCAGGGAGCTTTCCTTAATTCCCAGACTTAGTGAACTAGGAAAGCCATAGGTATTTGCAATTTTTAAAAACTAGCTTTACTTTCTCAATCACAAAAGTCTTGCCATAATGTTTTACTTCCTTGTTTAGATGTCTGTCTTTTTCCTCCCAGAACCTGATCTGCAGTAAAATCTCAATATTTGTTAGAGATGGTCAGAGTTATTACAGGAGTAAATATAATCATCCAATTGTCAAAATAGGAGCTGTAATGACATTATATGTGGGACTCACATTTTCTATGGACAAGTTATAAAGTATATGCATCTTTAAATTTCCTTTTAGTTTCTAACCTAAGTTACACATTCATATTGTTCAGAGTCAAATAGTTTAACAAGTCTAGTTTCAAAAAAAGAGAACAAAACAAAAATATTCCAGTTTCACTTGCCCTAATTCTTGCATTTCAACTCTTTGAGCTGATTATTTTGACTACTGACCTCTATAGTTCTAAATAACAAGGTTTCCATTGCTTGATATTTTTTAAACTCTTTTTTATAAGAGATGAAGACTTTGCTCCCTTTCACCCACCTAGACATATGACCATTTATTTTCTCATCTCTTCTTAGATTTTTTAACTGCCTTATTTCTTATTTGCTTAGTTTTCCACTTTAACCTTAAACCATCTCTAAAGTACGCCAATGTCCTCTTAATGTGCTTGAACGTGATAGATACTATATTTTTTATGGTATTGGGAATGGAACCCAGTGGTGCTTTACCACTAAGCCACATCCCCACTCCTTTTAATTTTTTATTTTGAGAAAGGGTATCAATAAATTGGTAAGGCTAGCCTCAAACTTGAAATCCTTCTTCCCCAGCCTCCAAGTTGCTGGGATTACAGGTATATGTCGCCATGCCTAAACAAAAAATGGTAGATAGTCTATCAGTTTTATATTCTGCAAAGAGTCTACCAGAGCCTTCTGTACCTGCTAAAATACAAATTTCTTTGAGCCTATTGCACAGACTTTATCTTGGGATTTCTCTTCACATTACCCTAAAAATCCCCTTCACTTCTCTCATGGGATAAATCCTGTCTTCTGGATCCATTTATTCATTTTAAGATTATTCTCAGGGCTGGGGATATAGCTTAGTTGGTAGAGGGTTTGCCTCCCATGCATAAGGCCCTGGTTTCAGTCCCCAACACCACACACACACACAAAAAAATATTCTCTTGTTGTGTGGAATTACATCTATTAGGAACTTCCTGATAAAAGTACCAGAAAGTAAACTGTTCAAGATCTTGCATTTTAAAAAGTGTTTATTCTATTTCAGTATTTAACTGGTAAGTTAGATGGGGACTAGAATTATAAACTGGAAATCATATTCCCTTTATGTTTTCTTAAATATTTGCAGACATTATCCCATTGTCTTCTAGACTACAAGGTTGCTATTGAGAAGTCCAATGTCATCTCTAGTCCAAATTCTTCATATGACAACTTTGGAAGATTTCAAGATCATATCTTTCCAGTGTCATGATATTTCACAGTGGTATTTTGGTGTGGGTCTATTTTCATCCACTATGTTGGTGCTTAGTAGTTTAAATATGAAAGTCCATCCTTCAGTTCAGAAAATTTTTCTGATCTATTTCTTTGGTTCCCTTTCCTTTCTTTTCCTTTTTTCCAGGACCCCTGTTTTTCATCAATGCCTTTTTTTTTTTTTTCTGGGCAAGGTTTTCAACCTTGTCTTGTAATCTTGGAGATTTCATTTCTGCTAAAACATAGATCTGGCAGTCAACTCAGGCTGTGTAGAGAGCTGTACTCTTGAGTGCTATGCCATGTGGGATCAGAGGGAGAGAGGCACTTGCAACTTCTTTAAGTCAGACCAGAAGCTGACACATTGAATATCATGCAAAGCTGGAAAGAGTAAAATTCATGAAACCTAAAAATATGAGTGTAGTTTCTGAGTGAGAAAGTAATCTGTTTTAGTCAGATTTTTTTTTTTTTTGTCACTGTGATCAAAAGACCTGACAAGAACCACATAGAGGAGGAAAAGTTTATTTTGGCTCATGGTTTCAGAGATTCAGTCCATGATTGGCTAACTTCACAGCTCATCATAACAGAAGGGTGTGGCACAGGCAAGCAGCTCAGGTTATGGCAACTGAGTAGCAGAGAGAGAGAACTCTGTTCACCAGGAACAAAATGTAAACCCCAAGGTCATGCCCCCAATGACCCACTTCTTCTAGTCACACCCTATCTGCCTATAGTTACCACCCAGTTAACCCACATCAGAAGATTGATCCACTTGATTAGGTTGCAGTTCTCATGATATAATGAGTCATCTCTGAGTATTTCTGCCATGAGTGGGGGATATCAAATAAAAAATTCACAACCAAATAAAAAATTCAAAACCAAAGGAAGGAGTTCAAAGGGCCCAAAGCAGCACAAAGATTTCTCAGCTTTGATCCTTTTCTGGAGTGCTCTATAGACACTTGTATTGATAATTAAATGACAGAACACTTACAGAACGTTTGTTGGAAGTGAGCCAATGTTGGAGCTTCTGGAGCGATGTTGTAGAAGTGGGTTTTTAGTGCTCCACTGACCAGTAGATTATATGCCAGATCAGTTATATTGATGCCCACAATTGCAAATGAGTACCTGTGAAGTGAAAACCACAAAACCAATAGTGTTGCATATATGGGAAATAAGCATTTTAATGATAACCTGGGTTTTCAATTCCTATTACATTATCAGAGTGGCAAATTGCTCTTTCTTTTCCACCCTATCAAAACCTTGACTTTTATAATTGATCATAAGGTTTAAATAATGCATACCCAAAGAGTTGAGAGTTCATATGGTTTGACTTGGTAATTCTACTTCCAAAATATCCAAAGTGGCCTGGCACGGTGGCACACACCTGTAATCCCAGTGTCTCAGGAGGCTGAGACAGGAGGATCACGAGTTCAAAGCCAGCCTCAGCAATAGCAAGGTGCTAAGGAACTCAGCGAGATAATAAAATACAAAATTGGGCTGGGGATATGGTTCAGGGGTTGAGTGCCCCTGAGTTCAATCCCTGGTACCCCCCCCAAGATAAATAAATAAAAATTTTAAAAGCCCAAAATATACAAAGTGGGCAAATCTTTATACACAAAGATATTAATCACAGCATTATTTATAATAGCAAAATGTGAAAACTATTCAAATATCCTAAAAAAAGATGACTAGAGAAATAGATTACAGTAATCTCATATACCATATTACAGCTAACTAAAACTATATTTTTAAATACTATTTAAGCAGGATATAAAACTTTATGTATTTAACAAGCCAAGTTTAAAATATATACAAATGTGCATGAAAAAAAGGCTAGAATGAAATGCCACAAAATATTAATATGGGTACACAAGAATAATAAGATCAGGGTGATATTTTGGTTTACTTTCTATGCTTCAGAATAAATCATATATCATTTAAGTGAGAAAAATTTAAATAAGCATATTATCACAAAATGTATTTTATAGTCCCTTTTCTATATGCCTATTTAAAATGAAAGGAGAAATAAGTTTTAAATCCTCTTTCTTATTACAAACCTGCACAAAAATATTTTTGGATGAAATGGGCATTTTAAAAGAGTTTCTAAAGTAAAATTTTATCTAATAAGTTCAATACTTGGTAAAAATCCTTCAAAGAAAGCTACCAAATCAAATTCTAAGTGGTGATTTCTAAAAATCCCTCCCATACAGTTATAACTATCTAAACCTCATCAGTTGGTTCCAAAGTGATATAATGAAGTCATAGAAATAAATCCCAACACATATAAATGGTCCTTTTTAAAATTCAACAGGCTTACATATTTCTATCAGGACAAGTGGAATTCCATCCTTGTCACCTTTCACAGCACTCTTGGGGCACTTTTGCTCTGTTTGTGGTTTAGTCTGTCATTCTTTGTGTATGAAATTCCATACTCACCCAATTGCTTTATCCATCCTTTTCTTCTCCCATTCTGTTTTGCTGAATTTGCTGAATAAATGAATGAATAAATAACATTTAATCTTTTATGGGTTCTTGCTTTCTTTTACTGCTTATGTTAAAGTAGCTAACTGTATGCAGAGAAGTCTAGAACTTGAATCAGTTCGAGTATTGTCAACTTCTAAAGCAACAGTGAAAGACAGCCTTAAAGGCCAAACATTAAGTACTCCTTTATACCTTGTCATTACTTATCAAGTACTCCTCCTCCGAAAGTTTGCCTGGCATCTCTTTTCCCCTAAACAGAGGTTGCTTTACACACTCATGTTTCTTCACCGAATTTTGTTGGGTTTTCATCTCATGGTATTCATCCTGCCCAGCCCTATATGTGATGCCTGGTTCACAGTAGGTGCCGAATAAATGTTAGTAAGTAAATGATTGAGTTAGGAAAAGAAGGAAAGAAGAAAGGAGGGGGAAGGAAGAAGAAGGGGAAGAGGGAGAAAAGACAGTAGATAAGTTTTAAAAAATTCTGTTCTCCAAGTGCGATGATACTTCTTCTAATTGAGCTCCATTTTAATCTATTTTATAATTTGAGATCCTGAATATGACTGTTTGAAGAATTTTCTGAAAATCCTGCCTTACATTCTATTATTTTGCATACTGTGTATCTGCCCCTTCCCAACAACATCTTGTAGGCAGAACAATGTTCCACTCTTCTTCATGAATGATGTAACCTTCTTTCAGTGTTTTATGCTGAAAACTGACATTAGCACTGAAATGAAATAAAATGTAAAAACTAAAGACGTGAATACTTAGCTTCTGTCTAAGCAAAAGAAAGGAGAGTCCTCTCAAATACATGGCAAAACATGCAGATAATACACACAGCACACAACCACAAAAACATTAGGCAAAACTGATATTTAACTCTGTATGCTTTCTGGCTATGTAAATGACTGGCTATAATTAAAAATGACTGCTTTTAATTCATTTAAATATGCCATCTGTTTTTAAAGTATAACTTCTAACCAACAAACCAGTCAGCCAGAGAGGCTTCAGAAGATTTTTCCTTATAATACTCATATACAGCTGTGCAAGGTGGCATACACCTATAATCCTAGTGACTCAGGAGCCTGAAGCAAGAGGATTGTAAGTTTGAGGCCAGCCTCAGTAACTTAAAGACCCTGTCTCAAAATAAAATTGGTAAAAACATCCCTGGGTTCAATACCTAGTAACAAAACAAACAAGCAAACAGAAGAAAAAAAAAAACTCATTCAAATTAAAAAGAATTTTGTGTGAAATTTTAAAAAATTGTATGAGAATTTATGAGCATCATTTCCTCTTTAACAAAGTCTTTTTAGCACGTAGTGTCTCTGTTTGTTAAATTAAATCTTTATTTGCACTGGAAAGTATTGAAAAGTCCAATATCTTCCAATTATTTGATTATAGAATACAATCCTACAACCAACAACAAATGGGATCATTTTCTTCAGAAAAAATAAATCAACATAAAAGCTCACAGTCATAATTCTCCTTATAAACTGATTTACTTGTATCCCTCAAGTTCTTTCTAGACTCTAAAGGTAGATATTTAGGACAGCAGTAATACATCATGCCTGCTGAAAGACAGGAAAAGAACTTTCCCTAGTGTGTATGTTGACTTTTCACTGTTGAGCACCTGAAATATTCAGGGTCTGACAGAACCTATGTTGATATCATAATTGACTTCTTTCAGACATCACTGAAGAAGAATAGGAGTATTTTCAATACATTTTGATTTGTATCCAGTGACATTTACCATCAATCTGAAACAATAAATACACAAGCTTCCTCTATTCAATTGTATTGTAACTTGAGGGATAAAACATGGTAATTTTACAAATAATTTTTTTTTAAAAAATTATAATTTTATCTTATGCTTAGTAAGCACAGGACACACTCACTAGTCTCTTCTTAAATGAGAGTAGTCACATAAACCTGCAAGTAATTCCTCTCTGATGGTGGATACAGGAGTTAACTATAAAGACTTTTTTTGAGAATGGTTCACAGACAAAAATCTCTTTCCAATGGTTAATCAAAAATATTTTAAGCTTGACATGAGTCAACACAGAAGAAGGGTGGTGCAGTTGGCACAAGCTCTTTTAAACAGATGTATGAATGCTGCTATAAAAGATGTAGGTGTTCAACCTGAAGACATATCCTATGTCAACACACATGCTACTTCCATACCATTGGGAGATGCTGCTGTAAACAAAGCCATCAAACATCTTTTTAAAGACCATGCATAGGCCCTTGCAGTTTCTTCAATGAAGGCAGCCACAGGACATCTTCCGGGAGCTGCCGAGGCAGCTGAGGCAGCTTTTGCTGCATCAGCTTGTAATTATCGAAATCTACAACCTACTTTAAACCTGGATTGCACAGAACCAGAATTTGATCTCAATTATGTTCTGCTAAAGGCACAGGATAGAAAACTGATAAATGATGTATTGTATCCCTCAAGTTCTTTCTAAACTAATACATTGTTTAGGTAAAGGGGTAAGGTCAAGCGTTCAAAAGGGTAAAGGGTTCAAAAGAGATAAAGGGTTCAAAACTTCCTTTGGTTTGGGGGGTACTAATGCAACATTTTGTATAGCTGGCATGTAGTCATTTTTAATTTAACAGTGGTTTTAAAAATGTTTTTAAAAATATTTTAAGCCTATTGTTACTTTCCAGACCACGAAGGGTTCATGTTTCTGGCTCGCACTTCTCTGGCACCAGAGAGCACACACAGACTCTCAGCCAATTTTAATTACAGAAATATCAATTCAGATGAAGTTACAACAGCTTGATTTTAACCATCTAACAAATCAAGAAAGAACAAAGCAATTTTAGTGTTTTCTTAAAATAAATAAAAATAGGTCTCTCATTCTTGAGCTAACCCACATTCCACCTGGAGTGTGCCTACCTTCACTTTTCACTTTCTAATAAAACTCTTCCTTCTTTTGCTAAATAAATGAAGCAAATGAATTTTCAGTCTTATAAAAGATTATAAATGTAAACCTAGGAAAGTGTAATGTAATTTCATGAACCTTCACCAAATGGGACTCTAATGAATACAATAAGGAGTGGGAGTCTAAGTCATCCTCTCCTGAATTTTGAGAAAGTTATGATAAAATTTTAGATTTGTTTAACCAACATGAACACTAATAACTAACCTGCCATCATGCTGAGGGAAAAAAAGTGATACAAAACCATGACTGCAAAATAGTGGAACTACTTATAAGAAGAGCAACTAATAACACACAGAGACACACACATTAGCTGTTATATACAATCAAATCAGATACATAAAACAGAAGGGAAGATTTGCTCTATGTAATGAAATTCCCACATGAAATGTCCTTCCTGGGGTCAAGTGTTCCCCCTCGAGGTAAAGGGTTTAAAACTTCCTGAAACCGGGTACAGTCATGGCTATCAAAAGACACCTTGATATTTTCCATCAGGTTTGTCTAGTCAGATTTTCAGCTCATTAAGACACAGCCCCCAAATAATTAATTATAACAGATAAAAAGTTGAAAAATGTTTGCTTTTTGAACATTTTTCATAAATTTATATTTCCTTTAAAGTCTTACCACTAATCATTCTCAAATAAATAAAAGCAATAAAACATGAAAGCAAAGGGGAAAATACCTTATTTCATCCTTAGTGATATCCCTTCATGTAACGAATTAAAGAAAAACATTTAGAAAGGTAAATTAAAATGCAAATAAGTTAGAATCCTAAAATTTACAAAAAAATTAAAAAGCTTCAATAATTCCAGACTTCCTCAGTTGGTTTCTTACTTCATGACTTCTGTTCCTTCTTTCTCCCACCACACTTGCTTGTTTCTCTGAATTCTTTCTCCTAACCCTGAACTTCTTCCTTGCCTACCTCTCAATCTTCCTGGACCCAGTGACATTATCAGTCTCTTTAACTATATATCTTGCTTGAATGGTGCCACTTTCCATCCTAAATCCTGGAATAGTACCTGAATTTTTGCTCCTCCTATTCAGCATTTGTCAAAAGGGCTTGTTTGAGAGAACTTTAAATCTCATTCCTGGTGGGCTGACTCTCCTGATAATCTTTATCTACAGATCCATGTAAGAGGTCATCTTTACCTAATTCATAAAGCCTAATCCATCTTTTATTTTCAACAGTTACCTGCATTTTGGATGAAGAGAGTCAGAGAGGACCTGCTGAGCTGCTGTAGAATCCCTTTCTGCAAAATACCTGCAGTTGAAGAAAAACAAAACAAAACAAAAGCCATAATTCTGTACCGGCAGAATAAATTCACTTTTATCCAGTTTGAGGATATTTTGAACTCAGAGATGGGTACTAGCATAAGATTATTACTAGTTTCAGCTCCTTTAGAGAACAGTTTTTTATAATAAGTGCCACCCCCCCACAATCTGACATGGCAGGGTGGTTGTGAAAGCCACAGTTTCTATGTGTCAACTAAGGCAATGTAAATTGCTGTGGGATTTAATTTGCAGAAAACATCTTTTAAAAAAGCATAAGAGATTGAGGTTCATTGGGATTTTCAGAGAAAAGGAAAAAGAAAGATTGCCCTGATGATTAAGACCCCACTCAGCCAGGTGCAGTGGTGCATGCCTGCTAAGGCAGGAGGATTTCGAATTCAAAGCCAGCCTTAGCAACAGCAAGGCACTAAGCAACTCAATGAGACCCTGTCTCTAAATAAAATACAAAATAGGGCTTGGGGATGTGGCTCAGTGGTTGAGTGTCCCTGAGTTAAACTGGGACTCTCCCCCCACCCCCAAAAAAGACCCCACTCAGCATGTACTTTTCTGCTCTGCTCCTCCTTCCCCTCCCTATAAAGGTCCATTATGTTCCTGGGTCCCCCAAGATGAAGCTGTGAGGATATAGCCCCTCCATCTTCTTCTGGGCTGGCCCTTGAATAAACCTGATTCCTTCCTGCCAACTCTGGTTTCCTGAGTATTGGCCTTTGAGCAGCAGCAGCACAGACCTGGTCCTGGTTACACTGTTCATATTTCTTTATCTAGTGTATCAAAACAATTCTCAAATAATAAGACAAACAACCTCACAGAGAATAATGGGCTGAATGGACCCTTCATCATTTACGTGAGTGCCAATCTTGTCTCATTTCATTTTCTTTTTAAAAAATGTTTTTATTTTTATTTGTTCTTTTTAGATATACATGACAGTAGACTGTTCATTTCACTTTCTTTAAAAAAATTTATTTTTTAGAAGTAGTTAGACATAATACCTTTATTTTATTTATTGATTTTTATGTGGTGCTGAGGATCAAACCCAGGGCCTTGCACGTGCTAGACCAGCGCTCAACCCCTCATTTCACTTTCTTTATGGTGGCTTGGCTCACAAAAATAATCAGTTTTAATATGTGAAAATTTTTAACCTTTTTTTTCAGTCAATACTTTTTTTTTGTCTGTCTGTAAGATATCCCACCTTACTCATGTATCTTAAAGATTTCCTCCAAAAGGTTAAAAAACCTTGTTTTTACTTTCAATTTTTAAATTGAGATGAGGCAGAGATTTAACTTTTATTTTTTCTAAACGGAAGGCAAATTGTCCCAGTTCCACTTGTTCAAAAACTCAGCCTTCAACAGTAGATTGTGACATCACCTTTGTCATTAAAGTCTGCTTTCTGTTCAGTCACTTTATATGATAATGTAGCATTTCAAACATTTTATAAGAGAATAGGTGATGATTAAACTTCCTAAATTTAAATCAAAGGGAAGAATCTAGGGAGAAAATGAGATGACACAAAAAGTGACTAAGGTTTCATTCCTTTTAAAAGTATATTACTCCCTCTCCTCACTAATAGGTTTGTGTCAAAAGACAGAAGAACTTATTCAAAAGGACTCTGTCTTGAAAAATAATGACTAGTGATAGCTGAATTTAATCATAAAAAATATTAAGTACAATTAGTCGGATCACAGTAAACATATAAAAGCACAGAGTTAAGAAGCAGTATTCTAAAAATAGAGAAAGGAAAAAAAATGTCAACCACTAACAAGGGAATGAAGACACCAACTTCCCACCTGAGAATTGGCAACTAAATAGAAAAATCAACCATCTCTCCACCTGTATTTTAGAGAAACCAAATAGCTATAGTTAATAAGAAAAACTTCTTACAGAATTCCAGGCAACAATTGTGGGAAGAATAGCAGTAGAAAGGCTTTTTTTTTTTTTTTTTTTTGCATAATAAATTAATTGGTTCAGCAAAAACCATGGAAGGAGGAAAGGCTGATGGGGGATATACAATACAGCCATCAGGCCATGACCCATCCCAGCACAAGGGCTGAGAGTGCTGGGATGACACAGACTCCTGCTGTGATGTCAACCTAAATCTCTTCAAGCTTTTCTGAATACCTCCAATTTTCAGGAAATTCAGGGATGGTTACAAATGCAAGCAGACAAATCTGGACCATGGGACATTTTACAGGACAATTGACCTGAAATCTTCTCCAAGTTAATGACAGAGGAGAAGAGGTGAAAGAGGGAACAGTGGAGAAGAGACTATTAATTTATAAAGACCCAAGGGACATATTCACTAAGTGCAATGCATAGGTCTTATATGGGACTGCATTTGAACAAAAACCCGCTGTAAAAGACATTTTTTTGAGCTGGGCGTGGTGGTGCATGCTTGTAATCCCAGTGGCTCCGGAGGCTGAGCAGAAGGATCAGCAAGTTCAAAGTCAGCCTCAGCAATAGCTAAGCGCTAAACAACCCAGTGAGACCCTGTCTCTAAATAAAATACAAAATAAGGCTGTGGATGTGGCTAGTGGTCAAGTGTCCCTGAGTTCAATCCCCATACCAAAAAATTTTAGAGAATTGGGCAATTTAAATATGGACTAGTTATACATTGTTAGCAGTAATAATGGTATTGTTGTTAATGGAATGCTGACACTTTTTAGAACTACCTATGGAAATACTGAATAAGATTGGATAGGTAATGGTCCCCAATTAGGGAATTTTTCAAATGTAAAGGCCATTCCATGAGAATGATCAGAAAAAATTCCAAATATTCCAATCAAACCTTTGTCCTGGGGTGGAGGTAGAAGGGTAGGTGTGCACAGAAGGGAGAGGGAACCTGAGTGGAGGTTACAGGAAAGTTCAAACTCAAGGTCTATAAATGCACAGCCAATTAGAAGGTCATGGGCAGAACCAATACCATTGGTACTTTTCCAATACCTGTTTTGCAAAGATTTTGACCATTAGCTTTTGTACTTTTCCAATACCTGATTGGCATAGATATAGATCAGTCCCCCTACCCAGTAGCTGTATCAGCTCCTAGCCTAGTATGCTTAAGTGGCAACCCCTACTGGGTCCCCTCTCCCCCTGCAGGAGCGCTCTCTCTCTTTCTCTCTCTTTTCCGGTATGGGGATTGAAATCAGAGGCACTCAACCATTCTGAGCCACATCACCAGTCCTATTTTGAATTTATTTAGAGACAGGGTCTCACTGAGTTGCTTAGCACCTAGCTGTTGCTGAGCCTGGCTTTGAACTTGGTCATCCTCCTCCCAAGCCGCTGGAGTTACAGGCCTGCACCACTTGCACCTGGCTTTTTTCCTTTTCACTTGAATAAATCCTACTCTTTTTCCTTACTCTTCCTTGTCTGTGGATTTCATTCTTTGAATTCAAGATACAAGAACCCAGAAAGATGCCACTGGCAGGTGGATGGGATCTGCTGCAACACTACAGCAGCAGAGGCTGAAAATCCAGTTTCAATATGAGGGGTGAAATGACAAACAGTATAGGATTTTCATTAACATACTTCTGTCAGAAAAATAGGATTGCAAGTATTTCAAACCTTGACAATTAATGAATCTGAGTGGTCAACATAAGATGTTATAACATCTTCCTTATTTTTTGCATATGCTTAGAGTTTTCATAATAAGAAAATAAAAAATATATTTGACAACATTTTAAAAAAATATGTGAAGTCTGCTGAATTAGAAGAAGATGCTGGTAACTTTTTAAATTTTATCAATGTGAATTACCTTTGAGAGAACTTGAATGTTTTCTTGGACTTTTTGGGAAGTGACTTTTATAAACAGTAACTCCACTTTGTCATTTCAAAACATCACTCTAACATTCAATTATTCTTCATTTTACTTACTGCAAATTGTATAGTCCCAGAAGTCCCATTCCTCGAAAATCTGTCTTAGGATCGTCACCTTGGAAACCTATTTCACACCACTGCTTAGAAATGCGAGATTCCAGTGGAGTATTAGGCTTCAGGAATTTCCATAACTGAAGACAAAAGAAAAGGGAATTTCCCTGTTGATATGCACATGTAAATATCCTTTCCTACTGGTTTAGATCATGTAAACTACATTATGAGAAAGGAATTTGCAAAGCTGAATATGTGCAAATATATTATAATTAAAGATATGACCGTCTTTCAGTTATCTATAATAACAGGTCTCAAAGTATGGTAAAGTAAAGACTCCTTGGAGGTACCAAAGACCTTTTCAGCATAGGTAGTAAAAAACCAAAACCAAAACCACTATTCCCTAATAAAAGTAAAAGATTAGTTACCTTTTCACCCTCATCTCAGGAGTGCTCTGAAGGCAATAGAATGTGTACTTGTGTATTTTAGCATTTTAAACCTTCCTGACTTGATTTCTTAATGGAAATTAGGTAGGTGACAATCTCCCACAAAAAAAGCTCTTTGGAGTTCTCTAAAATATTCAAGAGTATAAATGGAAAGGGGAAATTTTGAAGCCATTTATTATTCATCTCCTCAGAAAGCACATTTCTAACATTAAATTAAGACATTTAGCTACATTGTTAACAAAAATAAAAGTGAAATTACTTGAGTTTCATTTATTAAGTTTTACCTATAACAGGAGTGAGTTACGTATTATTGTCTAGCTGAACAAAGGAATACCGGTGAAGTTCATGATTAAATCTCAAAGGATATTGTCATGTTTAAGAGTTACCGAAAAGAATATCAATTAAAATCAATTATATTCTAATGGAAAACATAAATTATAAACATTTTATACTCTTTACTGCCTACTAAACTAGTTTTATTTTTCTAAGTTTTCTATAGACAACCAGATTTAGCACATATCATTATGAGAGAGAGAGGGAGAGAGGGGGAGGTAAAGAGAGAGATTGAGACTTACAGTTATATAAATATATAATACTTAAATTATTCTTTATTTAGGGAACAGTAATACAAAATTACCTTTCTTTACAGTGAATTGTGCCATGTTACACAGTATAAACCATAATATTCAATGACAGAAAGTATGAACAAATAGAAATTTGCAGTTCGTTTTCCTTTTTTTAAAACTCATTTAAAATGGATTCACGACTTTATTCTATCATCTTCTCTATTTTTGTGTATGCTGAACATTTTTCACAATAAAAAGTTTTAAAAATTAAATTTTAAAAATTACATAGGTGTAGGTTGAAAGAACATTTAACGCCAGAATTTTTTGCTTATAATTGTAACTTAGTACCCACTGATCAACCTTTCCTCATCCTTCCCTCTCTTCCCCAGCCTCTAGTAGTCCCCAGTCTATTCTCAACTTATGTCAGATCAATGTTTGCAGATTCCACATGAGTGACATCATGCAGTACTTGTCTTTCTATGTCAGGTTTATTTACTTAACATAATGATCTCCATTTCTGTCCATGTTGTTGCTGATGACAGATTTCATTCTTTTTTATGGCTTAACAGTATTTCATTGGATATACGTCCCACACACTCTTTTATTTCTTCATCAGTTGATGGACACTTTAGTTGTTTCCACTTCTTGGCTATTGTGAATAGTCACAGTGAACATGAGAATGCAGATGTCTCTTTGACTGATTTCATTTTCTTTGGATATATACATTCTAGTGGGATTGCTGGATTATATGGTGGTTCTATTTTAATTTTTTGAAGAATCTCCATACGTTTTTTTCACATGGCTGTACCAATTTGCATTTCCATCAACACAGCATAAGTATTTCCTTTTTTTCCAGGTTTATGCCAGAACTTGTGCTTAAGTCTTTTTTAAAATTTTTTTTAAATTCTAATCTGCTATATATGACAGTGGAATTCATTACAATTCATATAGAACACAACTTTTCATATCTCTGGTTGTATACAAAGTATATTCACACCATTTGTGTCTTTATACATGTACTTAGGGTAATGATGTCCATCTCATTCCAACATGTTTTTTACCCCCATACCCCTTCCTTTACCCTCCCACCCCTTTGCCCTATCATCTATTCTTCCCATGCTCCCCTTCCCTAACCCACTATGAATCAGCATCGTTATATCAGAGAAAATATTTGGTATTTGGTTTTTTAGGATTGGCTAACTTCACTTAGCATTATATTCTCCAACTCCATCCATTTACCTGCAAATGCCATGATTTTATTCTCTTTTATTGCTAAGTAATATTCCATTGTGTATATATACCACTTTTTTTTTTATCCATTCATTTACTGAAGGGCATATAGGTTGGTTCCACAATTTAGCTATTGTGAATTGTGCTGCTACAAACATTGATATGGCTGTGTCCCTGTAGTATGCTGTTTTTAAGTTCTTTGGGTATAGACTGAGGAGAGGGATAGCTGGGTCAAATGGTGGTTCCATTCCCAGTTTTTCAAGGAATCTCTATACTGCTTTCCATATTGGTTGCACCAATTTGTAGTCCCATTAGCAATGTATGAGTGTGCCTTTTCCCCCACATCCTCGCCAACACTTATTGTTTGTATTCTTAATAGCTGCCATTCTGACTGGAGTGAGATGAAATCTTAGAGTAGTTTTGATTTGCATTTCTCTAATTGCTAGAGATGATGAATATTTTTTCATGTATTTGTTGACTGATTGTATATCCTCTTCTAAGAAGTGTCTTTTCAGGTCCTTGGCCCATTTATTGATTGGGTTATTTGCTTTTTTTGGTGTTTAGCTTTTCGAGTTCTTTATATACCCTAGAGATTAGTGCTCTATCTGATATGTGAGGGGTAAAGATTTGCTCCCAAAATGTAGGCTTTCTATTCATCTCACAGATTGTTTCTTTTTCTGAGAAGAAACTTTTTAGTGTAAATACATCCCATTTATTGATTCTTGATTTTAATTCTTATGCTACAGGAGTCTTATTAAGGAAATTGGGGCCTAATCCTACATGATAGAGATTAGGGCCTACTTTTTGTTCTATTAGACACAGTGTTTCTGGTTTAATTCCTAGGTCCTTGATCCACTTTGAGTTGAATTTTGTGCATGGTGAGAGATAGGGCTTTTAATTTCATTTTGTTACATATGGATTTCCAGTTTTCCGAGCACCATTTGTTGGAGAAACTATCTTATCTCCAATGTATTTTTTGGTGCCTTTGTCTGATATAAGATAATTGTAATTTTGTGCGTTAGTCTCTGTGTTCTCTATTCTGTACCATTGGTCTACCAGTCTATTTTGGTGCCAATACCATGCTGGTTTTGTTACTATTTCTCTGTAGTATAGTTTAAGGTCTGGTGTAGTGATGCCACCTGCTTCACCCTTCTAGCTAAGGATTGCTTTAGCTGTTCTGGGTCTCTTAGTTTTCCAGATGAATTTCATGACTGCTTTTTTTATTTCTATGAGGAATGACATTGGGATTTTGACTGGAATTGCATTAAATCTGTATAGTGCTTTTGGAAGTATGGTCATTTTGATAATATTAATTCTGCCTATCCAAGAGCAAGGTAGATCTTTCCATCTTCTAAGGTCTTCTTTGATTTCTTACTTTAGTTTTCATTGTATAGGTCTTTCACATTTCGTTGATTCCTAAGTATTTTATTTTATTTTTTTGAGGCTATTTTAAATGGGGTAGTTTTCCTCATTTCCCTTTCAGAGGATTTGTCATTGATATACATAAATGCCTTTGATTTATGGGTGTTTTATATTTTATATCTTGCTACTTTGCTGAATTCACTTACTAGTTGTAGAAATTTTCTGGTGGAACCTTTTGAGTCTTCTAGGTATAGAATCATATCATCTGCAAATAGTGCTAATTTGAGTTCTTCTTTTCCTACCCATATCCCTTTAATTTCTTTTGTCTAATTGCTCTGGCTAGTGTTTCAAGAACTATGTTAAATAGAGTGGTGAAACAGGGCATCTCTATCTTGTTCCAGTTTTTAGAGGGAATGCCTTCAATTTTTCTCCATTTAGAATGATGTTGGCCTGGGGCTTAGCATAGATAGCCTTTATGATGTTGAGGTATGTTCCTGTTATCCCTAATTTCTCTAGTGTTTTGAACATAAAGGGGTACAATATTTTGTTGAATGATTTTTCTGCATCTATTGAGATGATCATATAATTCTTATCTTTAATTAATCTGTTTATGTGATGAATTACATTTATTGATTTCCATATGTTGAACCAACCTTGCATCACTGGGATGAACCCCAATTGATCATGGTGCACAATCCTTTTGATACATTTTTGTATTCGATTTGCCAGAATTTTAATTGAGAATTTTTGTATGTACGTTCATTAGAGATATTGGTCTGAAGTTTTCTTTCTTTGATGTGTCTTTGCCTGGTTTGGGAATCAGGGTGGTATTGATCTCATAGAATGAGTTTGGAAGTGCTGCCTCTTTTTCTATTTCCTGAAATAAATTGAAGAATATTGGTATTAGTTTTTCTTTAAAGTTCTTGCTCTTAAAGAACTTGGCTGTGTATCCATGAGGTCTTGGGCTTTTCTTTGTTGGTAGGCTTCTGATGGCATCTTCTATTTCATCGTTTGATATTGGTCTGTTTAAAATGTGTATATCCTCCTGATTCAATTTGGGCAAATCATATGACTCAAGAAATTTGTTGAAGCCTTTGATATTTTATATTTTATTGGAGTACAAGTTTTCAAAATAATTTCTAATTATCTTCTGTATTTCTGTAGTGTCTGTTGTGATATTTCCTTTCTCATCACATATGTTAGTGATTTGGGTTTTCTCTCTCCTTCTCTTCGTTAGCATGGCTAAAGGTCTGTCAATTTTATTTATTTTTTCAAAGAAACAACTTTTTGTTTTGTCAGTTTTTTCAATTGTTTCTTTTGTTTCAATTCATTGATTTCAGCTCTAATTTTAATTATTTCCTGTCTTCTACTGCTTTTGGTGTTGATTTTTTTCTTCGTTTTTAGGGCTTTCAGATATAATGTTAGGTCATTTATTTGTTGACTTTTCCTTCTTTAAGGAATGAACTCCAGGCAATGAACATTCCTCTTAGTACCGCCTTCATAGTGTTCCAGAGATTTTGATATGTTGTGTCAGTG